AAGCTCTCTCTCGCCCTCTCCGCAACTCTCTTCTTTCTGTCGAGCGGCCGAGCGGTGGGAGAAGAAGGGCACAAGGTGAGTGAAGACGAGAACCCTTCTTCCTTGTCTTCCTCCACAACCTCTTCCTGGTTTTTTACCAATGGGACGGTGAGATAGGACAAGCAAGGCACTTTCGACTGCTTTCTGCATCGCTTCCCCTCCCCTCCTCTCTCTCACTCTCTGCCTCTGTTTTTTGCTGGTCTTTCTCTCTTACTTTCTCTCTTTGTTTCTGTGTTTGTTTCCTTATGGCTCTCGTTCTTCTTCTGCCCTTCTCGGATTGTCTCTCAGCTTCTGTTGTCTTTCTCTTACTCCCTTGTCTTCCTTGTGAATTGTCCTTCTTCCTTCTGAGTGATAGAGGGAGAAGGACGGGAGGCAGGAAAGGCAGGAGGAGAAGGAATAGGGGGCAAGCGATTCTTTCCAAGCGAACATAATAGGCGGAGAGAAGCGGAAAGGGAATGTGCAGAAGTAGACGGGAAGGGAGGGAGGGAGAAAGAGGGATCTGGAGAGAACAATGAAAAGGAGGATGGATGAGGTGATGAGAAGAGTGCCCTTTGCATGCCCTGAACTCTCCGTTTCTTTCATTTCTCCTTCCTTATGAAGATGAGTAGGGTAAGAGAAGAGGAAGAAGGCAAAGGGCAAGGAAGTAAGAGAGGCGAGCGAAGGAGGAATTCTCCTTTCTTCTCCGAACCGTCTTCCCGCATCTTACCGCTTCCTTTCTGTTGTCTGCTCTTCTTTCCTTATGTCTTCGCAGAGCCTTTCCTCCTTATCCTTTTCTTTCCTCTGGTCATTCGAAAAGGAAAAGAGGAGGAGACGCGAACTGATTCTCCTTGCTCCTTCTTACCACACTCTGCTTCTCTACATCCCCCTGCTTTCTTTATACTCGGTTTGGTGTTCATGTCCTCGGGAGGCCCCCTTAGGGAGGAAGTTGGTGGCTTCCAGAAAGTTGTGGAAGTGTCTGACGGCGCCTACAAGCCTCCTCAAAGCCCTCGCGAGGCCCGGAATCCTTTGAGATACGGCAACACTGGTACTCTCTGGCTTCCTCTTCTGTGTCCTTCTTCCTAGTCTTCCTCGTTTCTCTTTCTTTCGCACTCGACTTCCCGCACTCTCTGTCTATGACTTTCTCTTATCCACTTTCACCTATTCCCTCGCTTCAGTCCATGCCCTAGCCTTCACTCCTTTCCAAACCCTTCTGACATGAGTAAGCATCAGAAGAATGAGAGGAGGAGGTGAAAGGGACGAAGAACAGCTCTCTCCGTTACTTTCTCTCATCCGCTTTGACCCCTTCCCTTTCCTAGCTCCATGCATGCCCTGCGCTAAGAGAAAAATAAGAGAGCAAAGAGGAAGAATAGGAGAAAGGGGCTTCCGCCCTTTCAATACGTAGCTTTGGCTTACGCTTCTTCTGGCCACCCCTTGCCCCTTCCCTTATCTTCCTCTCTCTTCTTCCTCTGCTGGGCTTGAAGCTCTCCCTCGCTCTCTCTGTATCTCTCTTCTTTCTGTCATTTCTCAATCTCGTCCTTTCCCTTCTCCACTTTCCTTCCTGGTTCCCACTTTTCCGCCAGACAAGAAAATCAAAGAAAGGAGAGCGGGCGAGCGGTGGGAGAGGAAGGGCGCAAGGTGAGTGAAGAGGAGAACACTTCTTCCTCGTCTCCCTCCACAAGCTCTTCCTGGTTTATCACCAATGAGACAGTGTGATAGGACAAGAACAAAGAATGAATAGACGTGGAGGTCAAGGCACTGTCGGCTGCTTTATGCATCGCCTCCTCTTTCTGTCTCTCTCTTTGATTATCTTTCCCCCTTAGTTTCTCTCTTTGTTTCTGTATTTCGTCCCTTATGGCTCCTTTCTCGGATTCTCTCTCCGTTTGTTTTGTCTGTTTTCTTACTCCCTTCTCCTTGTGAGTCTTCCTTCTTCCTTCTGAGTGATAAGGGGAGAAGGACGGGAGGCAGGGAAGGGAGGAGGAGAAGGAACAGGGCACTGTCGGCTGCTTTATGCATCGCCTCCTCTTTCTGTCTCTCTTTTTGATTATCTTTCCCCCTTAGTTTCTCTCTTTGTTTCTGTATTTCGTCCCTTATGGCTCCTTTCTCGGATTCTCTCTCCGTTTGTTTTGTCTGTTTTCTTACTCCCTTGTCTTTCTCCTTGTGAGTCTTCCGTCTTCCTTCTGAGTGATAAGGGGAGAAGGACGGGAGGCAGGGAAGGGAGGAGGAGAAGGAACAGGGCAAGCGATGGGACAAAGAGAGTGAGAGAAAGTTAAAGATAAGTATCAAAGCAAGCATAATGTAGCAGGCGAGAGAAGTGGAAAATTAAATGTGCAGAAGTAGAGAGGAAAGGATGGAGGGAGAGAGAGAGAGAGAGAGAGAGAGAGAGAGAGAGAGAGAGAGAGAGAGAGAGAGAGAAAGAGAGAAAGAGAGAGAGAGAGAGAGAGAGAGAGCGAGGGGGAGATGGACAACGCAATGAACACGAGGAAGGAGGAGATTATGAGGAACAGTATCACTTGCTCTCCCTGAGCTCTCCGTTCTTGTCGCTTCTCCTTCTAATTGTGAAGAAGGATAGGAGCAGAGAAAAGAAGGCAAGGGCCAAATAATCAAAGAGCCGAGTGAGGGAGGAATCCACCTTCCTTCTCCCAACCATCTTCCTCCATCTTATGTCTTCGCTTCTGTTTTCGATTCCTTCCAGCAAGGGAGCAAGGAAAGAGGGGACAGAAGAGATGAGAGAGCGAGACACGGCAGAGAGGAAGACAGAGCGAGAAAGAGAGAGAGAGAGAGAGAGAGAGAGAGAGAGAGGGAGGCGGAAGCGAGACCTCCCTCGTGTTACCCCTGTCATTGAAAGCAGAAGGCGACAAGAAAAGAAACAGAAAAAGGATCAATCAAAGGAAGGAGAGAAGGGAGAGACGAGAGAATGAAGAGTTCACTTCGTCCATCTTCATGCCTATTCCTCTGTCATGACTTCAATTTCTGTGTCTTCTTGGCAAACGGCAGAGTGGATAGGCAGGAAGAGGAACGGGAATGAGAGAAAGAAACAGGACGAGTGATACACAAGACAGATTCTTGATGGTTCCCGGCGCGAGAGGGACGGGAGGACATTGTGATAGACTCTAAAACCAGCGCGGAGAACGTCGCCTGGCATGTCCGAGTTGTGAGAGCGTAAAACCATCTAAATCCTCATAAACTCCAAACCTTAGATCTTCCATAGTATACTGACCCCGGTAAACCATAGTTAGGAGCTAAGACCCTAGACCCGTAAACTCCTGTCGAGACCTTTACACTGTACACGCTTCGGCCTCCCGATGTAACCGTCGTGCCAGACCTTGTCGTCGCCGTGCTGAACCCAGTCGTCGTCGTGCTAAACCGAGTCGTCGTCGTCCTTGTCGCCGTGGTGTTGTTGCAGTTTAAGTGCAAAGCCCAGCAGGATTGCCAAATAGACCCTAGAGGTCCATGCCACATAGTTGTATAGTGTGTGACCTATGCAGCGCCTTTGGTTCAAGAGGAAAAGCGTGAACGCTCAGGGTTTTACAGTTTAACTGAACAGTCTTCAAGTCTCCCTTGAAGGGGGTCTGAAGGGTCGGACTCTTGAATGAAAAATTCCAATAGCGTTTTGAAATTTTGAGAATCTCCAAATCAAGCAACGACAATCAAACAGAAATCTCACTCTGCTCCAATGCAATCACTCGGTCTCAAACTTTTGTCTGGATGCAATGAGCCAGTCTGGAGCCAATGCCAATTCGTGCGAATGTAGGCTAAGTCTGTATGTCGCAGCCACTTTGTTTCACTTTGTACAGTCGATGGTTGCTTTTATGTTCTTGTTTTCTTGCTTCTTATAGACCGAGCGCAGCAGCCGCTGTCACCGAGGCCCAACCACGCAAAAAAAAAGACATTGAGTCTGTGATGTCGTGAAAGAAATCGTCAGATTTGATGATCCGACAAGAACTGGCAGTTTGATTGTTACGAACCGTTCTGTTCGGGCGATTTATCATGATATTGTGATTCGTTATCTGTTGTGTTATTCATTGCTCTGAACAATATTGCTGTAACATGTTTCACTGTTTGTTTTGCCCACTTCTTGTCTACTTGTGATGTGTCCTTTTACATCGAACGCTCAGTACCTTGATTGTTGACAAAGTCCTTATTGCTGGTCTTACTGCTTTTTTTTGCTGCCGATTGTCCTTTTTGACTATTACTTTCACGTCCATTGGGCTCTTTGAGTGTGTTGTGCACAGTCATTGTTGCACCGGAGAGTTTATCTTGAAGTCGGTCATTGTGCTTACGACTTCCCATTGAGTTCACGATGCGGAACAGGACCCATTACCTTACTTTGCTTCGGCAGTTGATAGTCTGTCGCTCTGCTCTTGATCATTTCTATTCACAGATTTGTTGCAACCTTGAGACCCTCATTGTCTGCCACGAGTTGATCTCGACTGTGATTGTTTTCTTCATGTTTCACAGGAGTTTCGAAAATCTCATTTGAGGGACCGCCAGCCTAAGGTGATTGTACGTGACAGGTACATGTCTGTGCCTTAGTACGGTGCAGCAAAAGAAAGAAGAGGTGAGAATTGAGAGAATTTATTGAGCGCGGCATGTGCATTCGGTAGGACTTTCTTATTGAAGTGTTTGAACAGGAAATTTAAATTGGAGGTGAGACCCTCCGTTTTCGGTTGCATGAAACAAGAATTGTCTGTTTGACGCTCAGTCGTCTTTTGAACAGTGATTGTGAAAATTGTACATAGTCTTGGCACTGAGAGCCGAACATCCATTGTTCCGAGCTCTACCGAAATGATTTGGTTGAACATTGCCGAAATTGTAGATAGCATGATTGGAAGCAGTTTTGAGAAGATTTTAAAGTCTGGAGTGTGCGCTTGTGTGAATTGTTGAATTTTTCGATTGCTCCCGCTTGCGATTTCTAGCTTGTTCATTGAACGATTGCAAGAAAGATTGCAAGAAGCACCCGCGAGACATTGTCTGTGATTGCCATGGCAGCGGCAGCATTGATTCCTGACTTCATTGTCGGACCACCTCCGACCGGACAGCAGGGATCTCCATTGTTCCAGTTTCAAGAAACTGCCGGTCAAATTGGCGCCCACTCATTTGCGCCTGGACACCAATTGCGGTGGAGCGAAAGAACCATTCTTTCGCGATTGAAGGATGCATTGGCTCTCTTCTACACGCACATTGCGATGATTGGGTCAGTATTGGAACTTAATCGATGGAAGGTGACATTGATTGAGACTGCTCAGGCGATTGTTCATTACGGAGAAGTTATATTGGCCGAAGGCTTGGTGCACATGGGTTGCGAGGCCATGTTGCAGATTGCTGACTCATTGCAAGCCGCCATCACGGCATTGTGCAAACAATTGTCAAAGTGGAATCAGCGTATTCCAATGTTCGAATTGCCACTGGGCTGGTTCCCTCACAATCGATTTGTGAAGGTATAGGTCCCAGATGGATATTGCGCGAATTGCGGAATGGCAAGCACTGTCTTCCTGAGATTGATCGAGAAGGCCAACGCCTGCATTGCAGCCATGACAGGCATTGCTGGAGACGAAGACATTCCGATTTTCACCACGGATTTGTCATTCATGATTGTTGACAGAGCGATGGAGTGCTATGAGGCATTGAGCAGGATCTTTGCGAAGAAGATTGCCATCACATTGTTCCGCGCAAGAAACTATGCCGAGATTGACACATTGGCAGATTGGCACGTTTGCCTCGCACACCCCTCGTCGTTGATTGAGGGATTGGCTTCCGGGGAAACTATCATTGTGCCCACTCCGATGGGACAGCTCAACCCGATGTTCACCATTGAGAGCTCTTTGAGGAAATTGGCGCATTGGTATCGCCAAGGACGATTCAGCCGAACCCAGATTGCGGAAATTGTCAAGATCATTGTCTTTCGTCCTCGACGAACAATGATCACAACTGAATTGAAAGCAGCAAATGGGATTGGCGGATTCCGAAAGTACCACAGTTGCTCGGACATGGGTCATTCTTGGTGCCTTACCATTGATCCCGATTACGAGCGTGCCGACGAGCACAGGTATTGTCTGCCAAGAGAGATTCAACGAATTCTTGTTTCATCAGTGTGTGATTGTGATTATACCGCATTAACATGAGCTAAAATTGCACAGTTGTGATTGTCGAAAGGGATCGTCGCAATCAAGGGACCGTGTTAGATGGCATGGTCATTGTTCAGCTCATATTGGACCCATGGACACAATGCCTACCAATTGGCATTGGCTCAAGACTGGCTCATTGCCTCGAGGCAAGAGTCTGAGACCGAGTGATTGCATTCTGGAGCACATTGAGATTTCTTGCTTGATTCTTGTTGTTTGAATATTGCGCACTCCTGACGATTCTCAAAACGCTGTTGGAATTTTTCATTCAAGCCCTCCTTGAAGCCTTCTTCCAGCCCCCTTGCCCTTCGGCTTCGAAGCCCTTGAAGCCCTTCAAGACTTTCGAAGCCCCCTTCGAAGCCCTCGAAGCCCTTGAAGCCCTTGAAGCCCCCTTCGAAGCCCTTCAAGCCACGTCGTCTCCCCCTTCGCAACCCTTGAGGCTATATATATACATGTATGTCTTTAGCTTTCTACATGCATAAGCTTCCTAAACATGCACGGCTTACAGAAAAGAAGCGGGAAGTCCGAGGGGCGCAGACCCCGTAGTGTCTTATTGATAAGAAAAGGTATGTAGCGTGCTTAAGTGCAAAGATGAACAAACAAGTACAAGCACGCACACATATACATATATATACATTACATAACTACATGTATGTCTTTCGGTTTCTGCGCATAAACTTCTTAAGCATGCACGGCTTACAAACAGGACGCGGGAAGTTCGAGGGACGCAGACCCCCATAAAGTTTTGTTGGTAAAAAAAGGTATGTAGCGGGTTTAAGTACAAAGATGGGTGGAGGGGGGGCACCTTTCAGCAGCTAGCAGTTGCGAGCCGAAATAAAGACAGAGATTTGTCTATGTTTATATACATATATATATATACATGTATGTCTTTAGCTTTCTACATGTATAAGCTTCCTAAACATGCACGGGAAGTCCGAGGGGCGCAGACCCCCATAGTGTCTTATTGATAAAGCCACCTTCGCAGCCAGCCTGGGTACGGTATTATTTTCACGGAAATGATTTTTTGGATTTTGTAGCTTTGCTTCAAAATCCTGCTCGATTTCAGTTTTTACCTTGCCACTTGAAAGCATCACGCATGAATGTGTTGAGACAACTCGATGTGATGCCGCAAGGTTCGTGCTCTGAGGTAGGGCACCTGCTTCTTGAAACTGTTGAGCCTGGAGTCCACAGAGGTCCTGAACAGGTCCCCACTGACGTTGCTCTTAGAGCGCTGTGCACGCCAGCCTCGTGTGGCTGGTAGATGGACGTTGGCCCGGCCGGACCGGGTGCGGCGTCAGATTCTTCGTCTGACTTCGAGGCTCTGCGTTCTCACTTGGCAGAGCTCCAACAGCAGGTCGACCGTCTGCAGGCTCGTGTGTCTGCAGCTGAACTGGAGCTTGGTGCTGCCTTGATCGCGCAGCGTCAGCACGACATTCGTCTAACTTTCTTGGAGCGTTTTGTGCATCGCTGCAGACAGATTCTAATTTCTCTGTGTGACCCTCAGCCTGAGGGTGAGCCGCTCTGAGTTCCCAACGGGCCGCCATGTCCGGCTCTTCCGCTTCATCCGGCGCAGGGGGTGTGGGTTCAGCTGTTGAGCCTGACTTGTCGCGATTAGAAGAGACAATCCGTGAAGCTATTTACTCTTCTAGTGAACCTCAGGTTTTGAAGCTGCCTTGGGAGATGCCAGGGTTGGATTTGATTTTCGGGAAGGGTGCTTTGGAACAGATGTTGCCTTCGGAGCCTCCAAAAATCGAATTTCCTGTACCTTCGACGGCTGAGGCGTCGATTGAAGAGCAAGCCCGTGCGGCTAAGAAAGTCAAAGTAGCTACCTTCCGTAGACCTTGTTTCGTAGGTCCGTAGGTTGTGTTAACTTCAAGAATCAAGCGTCAGATGCCGAGCTTGAAGCGGCTGCATGGCAAAGGTCCCTTGAAAAGTGGCATTTCCTGTTGACTCTTGATTCCTCTGTTTCCTTGGTCGGATCGTCTCTTGCCGGGATGAGCCAGGCAGATGATGGTATGCAGGCACTGCGGGAACTCTTTGGGAGAAAGAAGGAAGCTACAGTGAAGAAGCGTGCTGCTTCAATGCTCAAGTATGTGAAGTACTTGCAGGAGCACAGGCCCTTTGCCTCGAGAAGGCTGACGAGTATATAAGGCACTTGCGGTCCATCAAGGCAAAGGCTGGCACGATTGATTCCCCTTCACGGAGGCAGTAAGGTTCTCCATTCATGTGGTTGGCATCAGTTGTGCGGGAGAAGCATCCAAGCTCTTCAGCCCTTGGTCTGTTGGACTAAGGGGCCTCATGCAATCGCAGAAGCCGGAGCGTGTTTCAGCCTTGGGCTTGACTGTAGACCAGGTCGCTTTTCTTGAATTTTGCCTGGATGATGCTGACTTGGACCTGCAGGACCGATATGCAAGCGGGGCTTTCTTGTTTTGCACTTTCAGCAGAAGCCGCATCAGTGATGTAAAGAAGGTTCGCAACTTCATCATTGATACTGTCGTGACGGGGTCCGATGTTCAGGGATACCTTGAGTGCGCCACCAGGGCACATAAGACAGCCAACCAGGCGGCAGTGCAAGGAGTGTCAATGCCTCTCGTGGCGCCCATTTGCGGTGTGCGGCATGAGCCCTGGGGGCCGAAATTTGGCGGTCGCCGAGGCTGCAGGCTTGCCGTTGAGTCCTGACAAGAATGGGCCGTTGCTGCCAGTCCCTCTTGAGGCAGGTGGCTGGAGTGAGAGGGCAGTAACGACTGACGAGGCCGGTGGCAGGCTTCGGGCTTTGCTTAGCCGAGGGAATAAGTGCACTGATGGTGTGACCGGTCATTCCCTCAAAACAACTACACTTGATTGGTGCGGTAAGTTTGGCGTCAATGAAACCGCCCAGACCCTGCTGGGCCATCACGCACTCAAAGGTTCAGCTATGTATGCGTACATGCGAGATAAGCTTGCAGCTCCCTTAAGAATCTATGAGCGTATGCTCAGAGCAATCAGAGACAGCTTGTTCATTCCTGATGCCACGAGATCGGGTCTCATCAGGAAGGATCCCCCTCCTGCGGAAAGCTCCTTGGGTGAGCCGAACAGCGACCGATCGTGGCAGCCTGTTGAGCCCATGCAACCTGGACTTGGCGACCCTGCAGGCTTTGGGGTAGTTGAGTCGGAAGGGGAAGACAAGCACTACCGTGCAGCTGCGCTAACTCCTGAGGAAGCAGCTGAATCAGTCCTTGATGATGCGTTCCAGGACGACGGCGCAGAGTCCGCGCAGGCAGGTGACGGTGAGGAGCATTCGTCCTCGTCCTCATCTAGTGAGTCCGAAGGTCCAGAAGGCTCTGACTGGGTAGACAGTTTGAAAGACGGGTTTGACTGTACAGTGGAGAAATCAAATCTTGCTGAGCTTGATTTTGTGTATTGGAGACATGATAAAACAATGACCATTCACTCGGTAGCTGCTGGTTCTACGGGTGAGACGTTCACCTGTGGGCGTAAGCGAACGCCTGACTATTCCAGGATCACGCAAAGTGCCTTCGCAGAAACGCGGCTATGTACGAACTGCAGAAAGAGCCGACCTCTGCGAGATGTGGGGGCTCTGAATGCAGCTTTGGCTAAAAGCTTGAAGCGCTGATTTCTATGCCACGGTCCGAGGTGGGACCATGCAGGTAGTTCCACGAAGAGTGGTTGCCGGGATGTTCCGGCCACGCCTGCAAGTTTCGAGTTGCGAGGTGCAACTTGAGCGGTGGTTCTATTTTCGACCAGAGAGCGTGCTGGGAGGTTCCGGCTACGCCTGCAAGTCTCGGGTTGCGAGGTGCAACTTGAGCGGTTTTGAGCAACCTGCGAAGGGGCGTGAACAATGTGCAAGTGCCGCGTCCTGCCGTGGGCAAGTGCTAAGTGAGTGACTTGGTGAGCGAGGTGCCTCTTGCGATAAGGTTTTCTCTCGAGCCTGCTTTTTATCAGGTTGAACTAGCCATGGCTGGTGTCCCCGCTGCGACCTCCTTTACTGAGTCGAAGCCGGCGTTTGTAAAAAGGGCCTTGGAAGTGGGGTTGGCCCAGCCAGAGGTTGACCACCTGGTCGCCAAGCATGTGGACACTCTCTCCAAGCTCGCGTTTGTGCTAGTCCCTCCTGGAAAGGTGCCGGAGGATGAGGCTGTCACGGCTCTGCTCCCAGCCGGATCCAGTCAACGGGCCATTGCAGGTCTCAAGCGACTCCTCTTCGAAGCTCATACCCTGATTGTTTCTGCTCTTATAAGCAAAGGGTGGAGCGAACGGATGATAATCTGCCAGCATCTCTTGATGTCGCAGAGCGTGAGGACAGACTCGCGAGCCAGAAGGCCCGTCTCGGGGGATTGACCTTTCAGGCCGAAGAGGAGGTTGCCCATGGGGCGTACGACGTTGTCTTCGCAATGGCTCAGAAAAATGAGCTGGTGTGGCTGGCTCCAGAGAAGTTCGGAACCCGTCGAGCGGAGATCAGCTCTAAGAAGAATCAGAAAGAGCTTGTCATTGACGGCACAGGTGTTGCAGTCAAGGAAAAGGCTCAATCAGTTCACTGCGCGATCAACAGCGATCTTGACCTGGTGCTTGCCCTCAGGCGCAGAGCCTTGGCCTTTGACCTAGTGGGCATTCTGTCGTTCGACGTTGCCAACCGGTACCATCAAGCGCTGGTGCAGCGGCTTCGTGAATCTCCGCCCCCGGATTATGCAAAGGTCTCACTCGCCCAGGTCATCCGAGCTGACCGTCCCGCCTTCTTGAAGATGGCAGAGATTTTGACAACGCTTCGCAGGAGTGGCACTGGTGTTTTACCGCTTGATTCGATGCTGCCAAACATTTTGCTGGACCCAAGCGTCGCATATCATCTGCTGCCTTTGCATGCGGGTAGCTCGTCCAGTGGCGGTAAGGCCGATAACCCTACGACCGGCGCGCCGCCGCCACCCAAGAGGCCATTCACTCCGAATCCGCGTCAGCCCAAGAAGCCGACCAAGCGCACTAATTTTTCTGTGCCAAAAGAGTTGATTGGCAAGACACACCAGACTCCTAAGGGTCATAGATTGTGTTGGGGTTTCAACCTGCCGTGCGGTTGCCAAGACGCCAAGCCCGGAGGCAAGTGTGCTAAAGGCCTCCACCTGTGTGCTGAGCCTGGCTGTCTTAAACCCCATAGCATGCAAAATCACTCGTGACTGCTGTCACCCACAGTAGGCTGCAAAGCTTCTGCCGCCGTGGACAGATCCGCCCTTGACGAGGCCCATCTTCATAAGTTAGAGGGCCTGTCACTTGAGGAGGTAGTGGTTGTGGAAGTGTTTTGCGGATGCGGGAGACTTAGTTCTTCTTTGAAGCGTGAGGGTTTTGACGCATTTGGTGTTGACCATGTCGTTTCAAAGACTGCATGTTGCTCTGTTCTGAAGCTTGATCTTACATGTCCGGATGCGGTATGTGTGCTTGCTCACGAGTGTTTGGTAATGTTTTGCATGCTTGCTGCATTTCATGACACTTCATGTACATTGCAGCAAGCAGGCTCGCAGCTGCCAGCTCGCCTGCATCGCAGGCTGAAAATTTTGTAGGCCAACGGGCCTCGCCGTGTAAGCCCTCTAGAACAGTTCTGGAGGCTCCCAATCTTTGTGGATTTAGCTCCACTTCATTCCTCTCCCGCTCGCGATAGGGGGAGGAGTGCATGGTTTCAGGCCATTTGGCGTTTGCGATTTTACAGTGCATTTGGTATTTCATTTGCATTATGGATCAGTCAGTGCCTGTGAGTGATTTGTCAGTGCCTGAGATTGATGCATCTGCTTCACTTGGAACAGACATTGCGATTTCTGACCAGACTCGTTGCATTGTCAAGCGATTTCAGAAGCGGACTTCATCCCAGCAGGAAGGTTCGCCTACCTCGGAGGCCTCGCCTTCTGCCGTCGTTCTTGATGCAGTGGTTGCTTCTTCTCAGGGTGACCTGGAGGTGGATCCATTGCCCCGCTTTGGCCTTATCTGCACAGGACGCTGATCATGAGGCTCCATTACTCCCGGAGGTGGTCATCGCTGGAAATGATGTTCTGCAGGGGCCACAGCTGGACCCTGAAGGTTTTTCATTTGGGTCGCGACCCCCTTCACCAATATATGACCCCGATTTTGAGCTGGTAGATCCATTGGAAGCGTCTTTGGCACAACCTGTGGCAGCCTCTGCAGTCCATTCGGGGTCCTTTTCTTGGGATTTGATTTCGCCGGTGCCCGAGAAGACTCCTGCATTTTGCTCTACGGTATCATCTAGCTTCTCCCCACTTCGTGTGGGCCGTCTCTCTTTTGCGGAGACTGACAGGGAGATGGAGTCACCGTTGCTTCCGGCAGTCTCGCAACAGGAGCATTCATTTTCTCAGATGGAGGCCACTTTGCATCCCAAGCCGGCTCCCTTAGCTCGGCCAGCCACACTCAGTGCTGGATGTGTTCGTGCTACAAGCTTGCATCCCATGGGTGCCAGGTCGACAGAACATGCAAAATCGAGGCCGATTTTTCCACTTAGGGCCTCCATCGGGGTGCCCAGGACTGAGCCCAAGCCTCGTCCGGTTCCCTCCTCTCGAGGGGCGTATGCTCGGTACCCATCTGATCATTTGCATTCTGCTTCTCAGGTGTCGGGGGCTCTCTCGAAGAGTTCGCCTCCATTTCAGGCTACAGGGTCCTCACCCCCTTCTGGTGGGGCCCCAGTGCAGCCACTTGGTCCTTTGCCGACCAAAGGTCCTGGTGCCAAGAGAGGAATTGATCTCCTTCATTCTGGCACCACCAAGGGAAGCTCCAAGGTGGTCAAGCAGTCCGAGGTGCATTCCAATCAGTGGTCACGGGCCCTTCAGTTGTGGTCGGAACTCTGCGAGTTTGCATTGTCATGTTCTGCATTGCTCTGTGAAATTTTCCACAGCTCTAACAAACATTCCCTTTTGGAGCAATTGCTCCGCCGAGTGTCGGACACGACGGCGCTGCGATACATTGCAATTCTGTGGCAGCTGTTGCATACGATTCGCGACCTGGGTTTTGACATTACATCACTGTCTCAGGTTCAGCTTATTGACTCAATTCATACATTACAGAGATCTCGCAGCCATCACTCTTCGGTACATTCCATCAATGTGCTCAAGGCGGTACGATGGTTCTCTTCCACAGTGCAACCCTCGGGCTTTCCTTCCTTATACGATGGCTTGTTTCATGCCAGGTCATGGCAATCGCAAGGTGCCTCTAAAGAGGCTTTACCTCTTCCATTATCCTTCGTACTGTGGCTGGAGACCCAAATTGTGTGCGGCCACTTTACATTGGAAGAGACTGCTTTCGCGGGGTCAGTGCTAGTTTGCATTTGGTGCAGCTTGCGGTTTGGCGACTCCCAACACATTCAGTTGTCGGATCTGTGCATTGACTTCGATAGCTTTAGAGGTGCATCTTACAGAACGAAAACACAGAAATTTATGGCTTTCGGCTGCCTTTTCTCAGGACTCTTGCGGCTGCCACGCACACAATGCTGGCTTTTGCATTGGCTTTTGGCTCTTGAGAAACTTATGGATTTACATTCAGATCCTTCGGACATACCGGACTACATTTTCTTCCTGCTTGACAAGGAGTGCATTAGACCTTTGACTTACGCAGAGTGCCTTTCGAGGCTCAGACGATTGTTGGTCATGTGGAACCAGCTGCCATCGGGTCAGGAACTCCAATATACATTGCATTCCATGAAAGTTACATTGCTTTCTTTCTTCAGGCAACTGAACATGTCGCTTGAGTCAAGGCACCTTCAGGGCCACCACAAGCACTCTGCCTCTTGTGCTTTATATGGGAGAGACGACGTCTCTCCATTACTTCTGGCTCAGGACAGTTTTATTGAGAAAGTTAGAGGAGGCTGGCGACCACGAACTCCATTAATGCGTGGGGTCACCTTTATGCCTCTTGAGCCGGCATTGCATTGGCCTCCGGACCTAGGGGCAGTGCTGTCTGCTGCATTGCCAGTTTTCTTCAGGTTGGATACTCTTCCACCGCCCTCTATGCCCTCGACCGATGTACCCTCAGCTCAGTCTGCATCAGCTGCACCGGTCAAGGATGTTGTTCCTTCTGCTTTGCCTGAAAAGGTTCCTGAAGAAGCGGAAACGAGCAGCTCGGAGGGCGAGCTGGGCGAGGCTGAGGAGATTGCATTCCTTAGTGCAACCACCAGCTCCATCATACACGCTTGCATTGAAGGCAAACCGGCTTGCGGCTGCCGGGGAACCTTCCATTTGGTTTCGCACCCACCTGCGGGCTCGCGATTTTGCAAGTCAAAGCCTTGCATTTCCATTCTCACGAATCTGGCGTAAGCTGCCTCGGTTCTGGCGAAAACACTGCATTCAGTGTGCCTCGCGACTGGGATCATGCCATTTCATTCTGTGCCTTTAACTTCTGAGTGCGGGCGATTGCATTCTTCTTACTCTGGCAGCGGAGTGCTCAGCAGCTGAACCGTGTGAATGCTTTTCACATGCTCTACTTGCATTTTGTGCCAGGCATGACATGTCACTGCCACACAAGCCTATGCACATTCCTTTAGCAGGTTCACTTTTACATGGCTGTTAGGTTTGCTCTGATTTTCGCATTCCGCTCCTTTTGCATCATGGAGAATATCCGCCCAACTCAGCAGATCAGGGACGCTCTGAGTTACATTTACAACTCGGATGTCCACCAAGTGGTCAGCTGCATCAGAGGAGGACCGGCGGCAGGGCAGCGAAAGTTGCTGATGGTCGCTGCCATGAGTTTCCAGGTTTCTTCTGCATCTTCGAGTACATCTGCCCCTCCTGAGCAGAAAGAGGACAAGACTTCCATTCAGGAAGATGCACAGGGCAAGAGTACATTGGATGCTGATGCGCCAAAGGGGTCCGATCCATCAGCCCCAAAGGGTACCACTACATCAGCTGACGATGGACCTCCTGCGGATAAAGTTCCATCGCCTCCACCAGCCCCGAGTACATCTCCGGCTGCACACAAAGCTGAGGCACCGCCGATAAAGCCGATCCACGACCCTACATTCCTCGACGACAATGTGGCGGCGGATGCAAAGTGCCCAGTGGCCACACGCCAAGTCGTGTGCTGCAGGGCCGTTTGTGACACGGTCGGCTGCATTGCCTTATGCGGGTATAGCAGCGAGATCCCCAATGACAGTCACTTCATTACATCCTCCACTCGTCATGCCTGTAAGGCATGTTACCGCAACAAGGTCCATTCCAAGGAGCCCAAGTCGTCGGATGCATCCTGGGATACTGAGTGGAGTGAGTGGGGCGATGATGATTGGCACGGGGACTCTTGGTCCTGGTGGAAGCGCAGCGGGTACTAGCCTCTTTATGGTCTAGCCTGCCTTTTTACATTTTGATCGGGGCTGCGCTTGTTTTCCATTGCCGGCCCCACCTTCGGACTTTGGTCCTACATTTCTCGAGCTTTCGGCTGCCACTCGGCGCCAATACTGCACCTCCCGGCGAGGGAGTGAAAAAGCCGGGCCTTTCGCCTGCTTTTGCATTGCTCGGCTTGCGACTGCTGCAATTCAGACCCTTGTGGTTTGCTTGATCGACCCCTCTGTGTTGATCGTCTTTTGGCTCAGCGATTGGCAACATGCAACATTTGCAATCACTGTCACTATGCAGAACACTTCCAGGCTACCTCTGGCAGGTCACACCTCTTCTAAGAGGCTAGATTTTGCAGCCATCCGCAGTTTGGCGACCGGTGCATTTGGCACCTTCTTTTACAGGCCCGAGGCTTCTGCTTCGTGTGCACTCTTTGCTTTGCACCCCGCCAGGTCGCGATATTCCTCTGGATCATGTCGGCCCTCACTCTGGCCCAGATCCTCAGGGAAGAAAAAGTCCCGGATCTTATTGCGAGCCAACTTTCGTCACAGCTGACGATTCACTCATTTCCTTGCATCTGCGAAGGAGTCGAAAACTTGCAGGACTCCATCAAAGATGTGCTTGATGCACCGGGACAGGCCATGCTGAACCCTGTTATTCTGGCATGTCT